AGAGGATAGCAGCACTGGTTCGATATATCGGTAGGCCATCGCGAGTCATTGTAAAGGCCAGATATGTATTTGATCTCCTCCAACGATGCTTAATGAAGTCGAATCTATGGCGCATGCCTCAGGAATTGATCAACGCCGAGGGTGTTCTGGCTATAACTAAAGGGATTTAAGAATGCGAATGTGAAATTATTATTGGAAAGTTGTAGGAAAAATGGGATTGCCTATGTCTTCATGTGGATAAATCGAGAATCACATGTCTTCGTTTCATAGTACACACTAACAAACATTTAATAAAACAATATGTCATCTATTTTAGCTAAGATTCCCTTCGACAAACGCAAATGAGATAGGAAGACTTAATTTTGAACATTTCTTCGAAAAAGAGCTCTGCTTTCCGTCACTGAACTTACGCATGTTGGATAGCCGTTGGAACGAACCCGAATAATAAAAGATAGTAGAGTGGCAATCAGTTTCTTACATGGGCCAGCATCATATGTGTAAGAAACCCAACATTTCTTGCATTCGATTCGTTTCCTTGCATCGATCACTAAGGTCTTCGAACATTTCGCACGTGGGTTCTACCACTCCTTGAGGGTTTTCGTCTCCTTTATGAACGTCGTTGGATCTCAGTCGAATGGATTTTTCCTGCAGTTCTGCGATTACCGTGCTGGAGCGTTTCCAGGGAGATTGGAAGCAATTCGTTCATTCCGGAGAATGACCGGTCCTAGCTTCCCGGCCCAGGAGTAATGGAAGGATTGGTAAGCCTGGCATTGGTTAGAAGAACCTGAGAGACTGAGAATATAATTTTCAATAAAATCTAAACAATAAAAAATTGACTGAAAGATTTTGTTGCTTTCTTCGAAAATTATTTGCGTACATCCAGGAGATTAATATGAATTAAAGGAAATAAATCGGAGCACTTCACCCGGCGAAGCAACATACTAGTTGATATAACTGATTGAGTGATGAGTGAAAACGACAAACCAAATAAATTTTCTCTGCTGTTTATTGTATAGTATAACAACCTTTAGTCTTTATTAAAATAATTGTAAAAGAAAGTGAGGAACTAAAAATACTGGGTCGCTTAACAGAAGTGAGAATATGCAAGGGTATGAATGCTGAGAAGGGCTATATCTTAAAAAAAATCTAACGATCCGTATTCGCCTTAACAACGAGCATTTCTATTCAACGGCCATCTTTCTTAATGGATATTTTTCAATGCACCAACGAAATGTATGTAGGAGGTGGACTCCTTCAGGGCAAAGCAAGGTTGTGTGACTGCGAGTGGTTGATAAGGGGTCGAACACGGCCCAAAAACAAACATACGGTTCAAGAGATTGGCTCTCCTGCATCTAATGTGCATGGTGTGGGTGTGCCTCCAACTTTCATGTGCACGTATTGATACTCAGAGATCCAACAACAAAGCCATCGGATGGTATCAAGGAGGAAGCGTTTCCAGCAATCAGCTGGTTGAAAACTAGTTGGAACTCTTTCCTTCCAACTATTAGCTCACATGAAGAAGTGGAACAAAAAGCAAAGGACACCTCCGAAAAAAAAATCCTAAGTTCTTTCCATCGACTCCTAGTAAACGAGCCGTGAGTATAACTGACGGTGAGCCCGCCAAGCCAATCGTTGCCGGCATCATGTTTTTAAACCATTGAAAATAGAATTATTATAGAGAAAGCATGGTGCTTTCCCCCGTCCTTCGAATGATTGAATTCTGTTGGCAGGCGTGGACGGATCAAAGATAAAATTCTCACAAGCGTTCATATGCAGCGAATACAGACTAAGTGCATGCAGTACCTACGCATTCTGCGAAGCGTCACTTTAAAATAGGTGTTTTCCGGTGATACAATGATAGTACTACCAAAGTGTATAAGGACTGCAAGTTTGAACATTTACTTTATCAAAATTACATACTTAAATTACTAAATTGACCCGAATCTCGATAAAATACATCATGAAGAGTATATACAGCTTGGAATTTGTTGTCCAACTAGTAACAAATTTCGAGGCAAAATTTCGAAAGATATCTCTCCGAAAATAGTAATTATTCACTCTGAATACAGTATTCACCTACGATCAGTTGAACTCTAAGCCTAAATGAGTCGTCGACATTTTGGGAAGACGTTTCACATTAGGAATTCATCCTGCATCATCGATATGAATAAATACGACACGATTATCCGCTTCGCCAAAGCTTCAGGTCTGAGTTGTGACCGCTTCTTGTGTACTTGTCCATGTGGACGAGTTTTCTGTCGACCTCATTCGCGAGACCATCGCCACTGTGGTATGGTATTGTGTGTTCACTCCATTTTGGAGGAAGACCTCAAGAATATCTGAATGATTGACATGGTGCCAAACCATTACAAGGACGCAATTTAATAGGCGAATATATTAGCTCAAATTTTAAAAAGAAGTAGTAAAAGATAATAAATGGCCCTTTGAGACGAAAGCACGAAAATATTGATTTTTAGACACCGGTAAAATTGGCTCTAGTGAAAAAAAGTTAAGAGTGACATTGGGAGTAGTTTGAGAGCAGATTTTTATTCGTTATTCTACCACCTGCTCGAGTGTTGTTCGTCTAAGCGAACAGTCTTTGAAGACAAATACTCTAATGAGTTCTTCACGTTTATCGAGTGAACGAGACAAAGTCGTTCATTTCCTCTTTGGCAATTCACCAGCTGATTGAAGGAGATGATGTTCCTGAAATTATTCGCAGTCAATTAAATTGTAAAACCACATATTTGGAAATTCACGATGAAAAAAATTGGGGTTATCTTAAGCGTCGCTTACAATAATTACTAGACTGGAAATATAAAGGGTATAAGGGATATATGGTAAAAGATCGATAGAACTAGCTGAGAGATAGGCGAAACGAAGAACCCACATGGTGTGGTGGTGAACGCATTACTCCCCGGAAAGGACAATAGCGCGTTCGTTCCCCATTGCAGACATCTGCGGTCCGGAGTTTTGCAAATATCTCAGCATTATAGTAGTTATGACAAGAACAGTTGGATCGCGAAAGGCAAACTTTGAACAGCAACAAGTTCATCTCTCTACTAGCGCATCCTAAACTAAACAACTGATGAGTATATTTTCAATGAGAAGCCCTAATAAGAGTAAAACTAGACCATTAATCACCACCGTTCTAGAAGAATTCCACTTGTGAAGAAAGAAAGCTCTCCCAGACATTCTCCTATTCATAAAGCTCACAAGGCTAGCATGTGGTCACACTCTGGGATATCAATACAACGGGCTATCTCAAAAATGAAGGTAGGAAACTCCCCACAGAGGAAAAATTCAATTGAAGTAGTAATAGTGTTGAAATGCGGTTCTTTTTGGAAAAGGATCAATCAGGAATCTACAAAACGTGCTCTAAAAATTACTGTACATTTTTACAATAAGGTGGAAGTGCATGGGACTACACTGACAAAACAGTGATTACTTTATAGAAAACGTATGAAGGCAGGATTTGGGAAATCCGAATAATATGCAGAAATGGAGACTTTGCAAGACGTTGACGATTCGTGGATCTATTCTGACGCCTTTAGTTTAGGAACTACGCTAATTTCCGACTGTCGAGCGGATCACTTTCAACGGATGCGGTTATGCCAAGATAACTAAATACTAAGACCGCTGAATTTCATGAATACGATTAACGATTTAGTTTGAAGCGTTTTTAGGAAGATTGGACAAAAAGCGATATTTATAGTTCCTAGAATTGACTTCCTATTGACCTCGGCACTGGATTATAAATTCGTCGTTTTCTTTCTCAGCAATCGCGAGGTTGTTAAGCAGTATACGTTTAACTATTATAATGCTGACATATTTGCAAAACTCCGGATCGCAGGTGTCCGCGATGGGGAAAGTACGCGCTATTGTCCTTCCCGGGGAGTAACGCGTTCACCACCACACCATCCGGGTTCTTCGTTTTGCCTGTCTCTCAGTTAGTTCTATCGGTCTTTTGCCATCGGCAATCACCCGTCAACGGGATTGATCTGGAGAGATTAAATCGGCATTGAACCCACTTAAGCTGAGCTGAGCTGAATATCACAGCATTATAATAGTCATATTTCGCAAAATACCATGCCCTTAAAAAGAATAGGCAGTAAATAAAAAGGTTAAGTATACGTTTACTTCCATACAATGACACACATACAACACAATCGTAGCTGACGTTTCGGCAGAACCGCCTTCTTCAGAGCCGCTTTTTTCACTTGTTTTTCACCGAGGAAGAACAGCCGCTCAGAGTCGCATATCGTTGACGACTGCATTACCCTACATCAACGATCGATACGAAGGTACGGCGCGAAGTCACGTGTGATGTCGGGGCATTCCTCTCTGCTACTCATTGTAGGATTTTTAGCATTTATCCAATAAGCCTCGAGGAGTTTGCGCGTTGGTGTTTTAGGATCCCGTGCAAGGAGAGTGACTTTTATACCAAAATCGTCACCGCTATCTTTTGTATCCTATAAGTCCCCAGTGACCTACCTTGCCTTGCTTTTCGTTTGCCATCTAGGTGTTCTTTTATGCGGCTACATAGAGGTCTGCACGTCTCGCCAATATATTCGTCTCCGCAAGTGCCATAAGAGATCAGGTACCTGAAATCGCTGCCATAAGGGCAGATTACTCAATTCTGTGTTTTACATAGACGGTCGTATACGCGGTTACGAACTAGTTGCCGACGAAGAGTATTCGGTTGTATTTCAATTATCACTACCGTTTCTGTTTGTACCGTGGAAGCGTTTGACTTAGTAAGTTGCGTATTAGTGTACCCTTTCAGGCTCTGATGAAGGCGATTCTGCCGAATCGTCAGCTACGGTTGTGTTGTACGTGTGCTATTCTATGAAAATAAACGTACGCTGTTTAACAGCCTCGCGATTGCTAAGAAATAAAATAGCGATATTTATGTTAGAAAGAAGATATCTGATACGAACACATTCTTGAGGACCATCGCCAACGAGAGCCAGCGTATTCGCCGACGGAGAAGCGTTCCGTCAATCGCTTGGACTTCTCGGCGACGACGACACTCCACTGCTTGATGCTTCGTGCTGAAAAATACCAGTAAATTTTTCAAAAATTCTAGTAAAAGGATTTAAAGAAAGACGTAAAATGGAAAGGATGAAAAATAAAAGGGCACTGACGATTGGATAGCGAGCCGCACTTGATTAATGAAAAACTTTGTGGGAAATTGTTGGCACAACTTCTCCCTTTCATATTTCAGGTAAAATAACAACGCTCTCGGCGTTGATCAGTCCCTGACGGATGCGCCATGCATCCTACTATACCAGACATCGTTAGAAGTGAATTCACATCTGGCCCACGCAATGACTTGATATGACATAACGCGGCTCACATTTTAGGTAGGAAGTGAAACGAACAACTAGACAGCAATAATTTTTTAAAACTTACCGAACCACCCTCTAACCGATCGACAGTCTTCATACGAAGTACAACGAAACGAATCGGAGCACCATTCGCATCACTGATCAACTTCGTCAACATCAGCGCCGATTTGAATTGTTCACCAGGGCAGTTATTGATCTCAAGAAGACTGAAAAATAATTCAGCACAGTTTTTAGCATGACCTCAGATTCTATTGATTTTCATGGATCGACAAAACTGTTAACCAGTGTGCTTACTAGCATCAACCGTATTAATGCAAAACCCCTTCGCCGATTCGCTAATGGGCTCAGGTATATTAAACCTAAACCTAGCGACGAACCAACTGCAAAAGTGTAAATATTTCGAAGAAATTTAGGAAATTTAACATGAACGAAAAAGTCGGATTATTGTATGCTTTCGGTTCTTCGAATATTCTACTAGAACGAATAGTGACGCTGGCGCTCTACAACGTTGTTAAACTGCGATCAACTTCGAAAACTTTAGAACGCACCAGTCATTTTCTATTAGCGGAAGATTCACTCCGTTCACTCTTGTGATCTGAAGACAACCGAGTCGCCCACGAGTAACGATAATGTCACGAGTGGTCAACGGTGTTTCCACGGCCAACACCTACAATGATAAACATAAGTATCGATCGACGCGATCCAAGGCATTGTAACGTGCTTTTCACTTCTCCTGTAAAATTTTTAGACCATGTGTGGCGCAGTGGTTGGAGGTGTCACTGTGACACACATGTGGGATCGATCCCCGCGCCCATGGTACACCAAGCCTTCCATCCCTCCGCGGTCGGCAAATTGCTGCCAGACTTCTCTTGGGGATAGCAGCACTGGCTCGATACATCGATAGACCACCACGTGTCATTGAAAAGGACAGATATGCATTCAATCACCCCCAATGATGCTTAATGAAGTCGAATGCATGGCACATGCCTCAGGGATTGATCAACGCCGAGAGTTTCATCCTTTTATTTATCCTGTAAGATTGCCTAGTTCTTTTTCATCGCTTTATTATTTTTTCTTCATTTTCACTATGATAGGATTTCAACATACTCAACAAACGTAGAATTCAACAAGAAACTTTAACACTGTTCTTAAAACCGTGAATTTTTCTTTCCGGAGAGAAACATTTCCGTTTCTTCTATAGGGAAACATATCAAGAAAAACAGGGTGAGGCAACAAAAAACACAATGACAATCTGGGAATGATCACGAGTCGAAGTCGTTCCAACAAAGAAAGAAAGTAAAAACGTAAGGGTTTCCTCTACATAGTGACATAAGCAGCTAGCGCACAGAAGCCAGACAAATTCTTGCAATGGAACTTTGACTAGAGAAAATGCTATAATTCCATAAAAAAGAACTCTCTTAAAGTTCACATTGTATTGACAAGGTCCTATAACTTTTTTTTAAATAACTATCTAAACACTATGACATCAAGATTTCCTTTTAGTGAAGCACCCAAACTTCCGACAACCACAATACTTTATCACAAATTATAATAGTAACAGCTTTGCCGTGCGAAACGCTGCGTGGCAACTTACAAACTCGTCCATCATCGTTTTTGAAGCTCACTATTATCTAATTATAATAAGTAATTTCTCTCAAAACATGAATGTCCTCACAATTAGAGCAGACGAACCTGATCATAGGAGCTCTGCCTGACTATGTCGAACAATGCTCGGTGCCCAGTCTTCTTCTCAATCTCTTTCACGTCCTCTGGACCTCGTTCTCGAATTGTCGATAACTCGTCGAGAATTTTCTCACGAATCGACGCACTCATCACACCGAGTTGAGCTGTAAATTAATGAAAAATGGTTCAAAGATGAGGAAAACTCGTCCCCATCAACGTATAACGTATAAAATTTCCAGTCGCACCGTTAAAGGCACTCTAATTAGGAAGACTTCCCGCAACAAACATTTCCAATAAAAGTCCCCATAAGTGCGAAATTAAGGTGACTATTGGTTTCACGGAAACTTTCGTTTAAAGAAAATCGTTCGAGTTTCGTCTGAAACTTTAGCGAAAGTTGTTAACGACCAATAGATGGCTTTCCAAGCGCAGTGCATTTGAGCGTTCTAATACTCGCAGCTATCCGAGATCGAGGTTCATCACGCTGTCCTGTTCACGAAGTGCTATTGGATTCGATGAGACACTTAGTTGAACATGAAGTGAAACTTGCGAAACTGGTAACATTGAGGTCAACGGCATTCAACATTGGTAGATAGCATAATTTGTTCTGTTTACTTTTATTTTCCTTCTTTTGTTTTTCTGTAAGGAAATGTGACAGATCAGTGATCGTTCTATAACTTTTCTTACGAACAATGTCAAAAGAATATGCGGAAGCATTAAATACTACTTATCATTTCTTAAGTTCAAAGCGTTTCTAAGAGAAATTTCGTGTGGATTCTATGAATACTCCTTCGTGTGTTGTTAGAAATGGTACTGAGAACCATTGCATCAAACTTACAGAGACAATGATGATCCCACGACAGGAGGTCTGTCCCTCTGAGATCGTAGCCAATGAGTAACGAAGCCACGTCGTCCAGATTGCATGCTTGAAGCCAAAGCAGCACATCGTCAAGATTCCAATCCTGTAACAACAATGGGTTGACCTACCTTATCCTTTCCACCAATTTACGTTGTTACTTAATATTTCTCTCGTATACTGGCATAAAGTGTTGTCGAAGTTTCCACGCTAGCTGGACAATCAGCTTAATTGCTATTCAGCACTGTTTATCATCGATCTACCCCAGATGTATGGGATATTCCGAGCGAGTAAGAGCAAAACTTGATGTTTAAAAATACCCAAAAACTTTTTTCCATTAAAAATGATGAAGGAAGAAATACGAAAAAGGATATCTCCTAATACCTAATATTCGCCTTACTTGAATACTTGAATGACCCGTCCTCACTGGTTGTGGCGTGTGTAGTGCAGTGGCCGGAGGTGCCCTACAATACACATGAGATCGATACCAGCACTCGAGGCTCGCCGAGCCTTCCATCCCTCCGAGGTCGGCGAATTGGTACCAGACTTGTTTGGGAGGATAGCAGCACTGGCCCCATACATCGGTAGGCCACCGCGAGTAGTTGTGAAGGCCATATATGCATTTAGTCACTCCAACGATGCTAAATGAAGTCGAATCCATAGCGCATCCCATAAGGATTGATCAACGCCGAGAGCTTTAGCCTTTGCTATCTTTTACCTCCACATGAAACGTAGTGGCGATCCCAACAGATACGGCAAGGAAGATGAATCAAAAACGGGTCTTAGCATAATAGCAAAACATAGTTGTAGAGAATAAAACCTACAGTGATCCTGGTGGAAGTTATCATTGCCTGTAGCTTCACAAAGCATCGAGTTTATGTGCAATGCATAAATCACTGTGGTGAAGCAGACTACCGGCCAAGATCCGATACATGAAATCCATTCATAAAGGGTATCACTGCTATTAAACTAATTCCTTACAACCGAGTGGTTGAATAGCCGCAAAGGCTCTAAAGCCGGGAAAAGTGCATAGTTTTAGACAGACATCATAGTTCATAAGGTTGAGTATTTTTTTATCTACCTCCACATAAAACCTAGTGCCATCCCAACAAATACGGTAAAAAAGATGGAACCAAAATGAATCTTAGCATCATAGTCGTAGCGAATAAAACCGGAAGAAGTCTAATGGGAGTGGTATCCCCTATGAAAGGATGGGATCTTGGCCGGTAGACTACTAGGATAGGCACTTCACCACTCTTTTATCAGCATCACCACTAGTATTGACAATCACTACAGTCCATCTTCACTTGATTTACGCCCAATACCGTGGACACTGTATTCAACGGAAGATGACGATGTTTAGACGATGGTTACAATGCGAAGGCGCAAAATTGCTTATTCCACAAAGACGACTTCGTCGAATTTCTCCTTGAACCGAAAGCCACCGAACCGGTTGTGATGAACAGATTGGGTCTCAGTTAGCAAGCTGTATTACTAACAAATTACACTATGCAACATCGTTGACCGAATCTGCTGTCAGAATCATCATATAAACAACGACCACAGCTCCAATCTGACTTGGGTTCTGTATCGTAGACATTGTATTCGACTGAAGCCAACGATGTTTACACGACCATTTCAGCAAGAGAACGTAAAAAGCTGTTTTAATGTTGAGCAAAGAGAAAGCTTTATTCGCATGTCGGGTCTCTGAGTCATAAGCCTTCGAGTCGTCGGTAGTGAACAGTGCATTTGAAATATTTGGTTGTACTGCTATCAGCCGACAACCAGTAATTTCTCAAATTTTAGAGGAAACTAAAGCCATTTACTTTTATTGCACTCAAAGCGAGTAAATGGGGAACAATTACTTTATAAGTTGATGCAGTTGAAGAAAGAGAGAGACAAGGTTCCAAACGTTAAGGGAAATCATTAAAAAATACGATAGGAAATCAGAGTTCAAGAAGTCCCCATGAATGTTCAGATGAGTTCAGATTCACATTAAGAAAATTCGACAAAGTGGTTTGATTCCCCTAATTTTCACCCTCCGGGTTCTTTTCTCCAAAATTTCTTTCAAAATATAGCTCCGCCTCCGCTACTACGATTTCGAAAGTATGTAGCGAGAAGCGTTTTAGGAAAAAATGTCAAAAGTAAACAAAATACAGAACGAAGAAACAAAAAGGATAGAAAGATTTCAAAATCACAGTTTCCGACCTCAACCGATTTCCTTCTCCAGCACTCCTCCTTCATCTTCTCCCTAGCCCATCGGTTTCGCCTTCGTTGAACCTCGTTGTCGGATGACGGCGACAAAGCGGTCGCTATTTTGAGATCCGGACAGCTTTTTCGTAACTCATTACTTAAAAATATGTAAAATCAATAATAGAGTTAAAATATCGACGAATTTACGAAGAGTTGACGTTGGTGTTTCTTCTTTTTCGGTAAAGACTACAATGAAGGGACATAGTTACTATAAAATCCACTACAGTTCTGTCTTCCTTTTCTATGGAATTATAAAAAGTGAGTGGAATGTCAAAAAACAAGTGCATAAAAACAAAAGAAACCAAAGTGGGAGAGAACAATATTGGAGCAAAAAGCTTTCACTTCTAAAAGTGAACGTTCAACAATGACGAGAACTTCGTTAGTATTGAATGGGGCCACTTTACTACGCATAGATAACTTTAGGTGAAAAAAACATTACAAGCGGACAATGTCAAGGATTGGGAAACAATGAAATATTTCTCGTCACCTGGACGTATGACTGCATCGATCGTTGTTTGCCTCGATATCTGGTCCTCTCGTAGTACGTAGTACTGTAACACCGTCATCGACCGTAACACTGGCTGAAATAAATCTTTATTTCTTTATCAACGTTGTAAAAGTAAAACGACACCAGATAAAAATCGATAGCCTAAAAAGCGAGGATAAAAAAGTGCTGTTAAAGTAATTCTTCAACTAATAGGGAGTTTGCTTGAATTTTCATTAACAAACATCGTTTTGTAGAAAAGTAACCTCTAGAAGAAAAGACAAAAATGAGATTTTCGACATCAATCAATACACCCGAGATCAAAATTGCATGTTCGCTTTTTGCTTCTCAGTAATTTTTCCGGATGGTCGTTTTCTCATACTATAGCAAATCTGTGGAAGACAGCTCAAGAAAATGAGGTACTCCTCTCGTGAGCAAAGTCGATAGTGGTTCGATTTGCTCGACTTCCGGCCGAACAATTCAGTTTTTCGTGGTTCTTTCTGGAGTTAGTAATTCAGTTTCCGATTCTTCTGCAAAGAATATGGAGAGAAATAAAATTTCCTTCGAAAAAGTACTGTAGTTCACTGTGAAGACCGCTTTTCCTTCTTCCGGTCGATATTCACTGAGCAATAATCAAATAGAGTTATGCTCTTCATCGCTTCTTTTCAATAGTAAACTTTTAGGAAAACGTCTGAAATAGAAAAGAGGAATTGCCTGTACTTTCACGCATCGTGTTCCTTATGCTTTTCGGCTCCTCGTCGACTGCCCACTGAACTTTCACCAGAACTCGAACATTGGACTGACATGGTACTGCTCTATCGCTCTCGTTACGTCTACTGTTTGACTCCAACATGCTCATGCTCACTGGGCGATCTACCCTGAGTGATATAAAGATGGAGAGCAAATAACGATCGGTCAGTTAGAGATTCACAATGCATTCGCCTCAATTCCTAGCACCGTGGAAGGGACCGGACACATATCTGGCTTAAACGTTAACATAGGGCACCTAGCAATTCATTAATCGAGTGTTCTTACCCACTCAGATAAACCTGGTACAGATTTTCCGACCCCTGAATGAGAGAAGGCTTGGCTAGGCTTAGTCCGGAATCGAAAAAACCTATGTGTGCTATTTCTATGGATTACCTGTCCAATATCTATCTAACAATTGCTTTATACATTCCCATCAACAACGAAAAAAGCGCCTAAAGCTAAAACTCAATTACATGGCTCTCTCAAGTACTTCAGCGATGGCTTTCCAGTTTACCTACGACTTTAACGTATTTGAATCAACTCGATTTTATCGACTTTTCTTTTTAATGTGATAGTTTATTGCATTTCTCCCAACGGTTTATCGCCTCATCGTGGCTGGGAGGTGTTCCTGGATGTAGGACTGCAATGTACAACGGGAGATTCATTCGCCAGCAGCGTCTCTCAAGCTGAGAAGGAAAACGGCACTTCCATCAGGAAGTCTAGCTAGGAATAAACCAATACCAGGACCCACCACCGTCCTGGTATCAAAGTCGCATGGTAGCAAATCTTCCTGTAATCCACAAAAACTGCGACTGCCTGTGGTGATGAGGACCTGGGGCAGACTTTGATCAGGCCGACCTCGGAATTCGAGGGAACCACAATGGCTTAACCAGCAAATCTCCGTAAAGTGGAGAATATGCTGGGGCCTGCACAACCACTGAGAACGGTCCATTCAAGTAAATAATTAAGAAGCTTATTGCATTGTTCGCATCTTTACCACGGGTATGTTTTCGTCTTTCAAGGAGAGGTATCCATGCTGACGTTTTTACTCGGAGGTTCAGCTTAGAACAAACTTATGTCTGGATTCATTATCGCTAGCCGACATTTATTTCCTAAGTTACTCAGCATATTGATTTCTTACTCTGTTCCAGAAAGTCCGGTGGGTACCTAAAGAAACAACGCGGATATATCCTGGTTTCACTGATCTAAGGATTGAGATTAGAAAAAAAACTTGTTTTATCGGAAAAGTGCTAGTTTCATCCCGATTTTTTTCTTTTGCATTTTATTTTTCATCAATGCTTTACTGCACAATGATGGCTGATGCATTTCCTCAAGAACAGAAATGACAGGGCTGTAAAGCTTGATGTTCATCCACTAAGCAATTACCTCCAAACTGAAGGAGTTTGACATTTCCATTCCAAAAATTCAACAAACAGTAAACAAATGCCACAAAAGAGCCTTGTGAGCGAGCTGTGGTTAGATTTTTAATAAAAATAACAAAATAGAGGGTTTCATTGCCAAGTTGGTAATACATAGAAAGGATAAAGCTCTGACCTATGATCAATCCCTCAGGTATGCACTATGCCTTCGACTTCATTAAGTATCAATGGAAGTGATTGAATGCACATCTGGCTTTCACAATACCGATGTATCAAATCAGTGCTGCTACCCTTTCAGACAAGTCTGGTACTAATTTGCCGACCCCGGAGGATGGAAGGCTTGATGAACCACGGGCGCGGAGATCGATCCCATGTGCCTGTCGCGGAGCGCCTCCGACCACTGCGCAACACGCGGTAATTCATATGTCATTTGTTCTAAAGCAATTATTTCCTGTACGTCAACAAAAGACCCGATTTTTGGCTCTTATTACTCGAATACTGATACGAATCAATTTTCGCTTTTATTAGTGGCAGGTACAAATACGTGACCAAATCACAAGGCATTTCTTTTCAATCACGATTTTTCTCCTCGGAGTGCTCTACAGCCCATTTTTTCTTTACTGAAGTTCTCTTTTGTCCAAGCTTGTGCAAGCTATGACTTTTGAAAGGTCAATACGGACCAGGTGGATGATTTGATGACAGAAATTTTAACTATCAAAAATTTACCGGCATTGTAATGCTATAAATCAGATCCTAATGTGAAAAGCAACAAATCTTATCAGTGAAATTAACAGATACCTTTCCATTCTCTCAGAAGGCATTATGTCTAGTCGCATTTGCTTTCGATCACGAAACGTCCAATTTCCGCCGAAGAACGAAACTTTTTTGGTGCTAAAGACATCTCGATTGACTGCTAATAAATGATATGTGGTGCACTTTATGATAAAATTTTTGATGTGAATGGGATGCCATCTTCATTGTTATTATTACGGCCACGGACCTTTTCGAGAACGCCGTTGACGTCGGTGCTGACGGTGGTGGCGGCGATGGCGGTGGCGGTTGTGGCGCTGACGCCGGCACCGATGTCGGTGTTTCCATCAACGAATGGCTGTAGCGAGTGAAACGCTGCAATGCTGGTTGCTCATCGTAGTAAATGCCAGCCACCTGAAATGAACTCCCACATGGGAAGAAAAATAGGAAGAGTTCGCAGAACGAAAATCGTAGAAAAAATGGAAAGAGTCCTAATCAACGATTTTTTTCTAGCAATATGTGTAAGGTGCTTCAACATTAATAGGCTTCTTTCATACGAGTATGGAAACACAAAGACATACCTTTAAAAAAAATTAAGCAAAACCTAATAAAAAGAGGAAAAAGTTTGGAAAGGGTAGGGTATACCAGCGGGTACTAAAATTGGCAAGAAAATAAATAACATTTGGAAAAAGTATGCAGAAAATGATAAACACCATCGATTAGAGCAACACTACTGGGATTTATATGGATATATGAATTACTTACTTGGATACTTGGACGACCCGTTCTAACTAGTTCTGAGGGCCTCAGCATAATCTCCATTTCTCGTTTTGCTGGTTTATCCACTGTGTTTCCTTGGAGTTCCGAGGTCTACCTAGTCAAAGTCTGCCCAGATCGTCACCACCATAGCCATTCGCAACGCCTGTGGATTAGAAGGAACTTTATCACACGCAACTAGTTTACTACCAGGATGGTGGTAGATACTGGTATTGGTTTACTCTTGGCTAAGCTTCCTGATGCAAAAGCTGGACTCCTTTTCAGCTTGGGACACCCTGGCGGAGGAATGAATCCCTCGCTGTATGTAGCAATCCGACACCCAGGAACACCTTCTAGCTACGACAAAGGGGTAGACCGTTGGAAGGATATATGAATTGAAATCCACAATATTTATTTATGTGATCTTATAAACTGATCTTCTTAAGCTGACGCGAGGTTGGTACAGGTCTTCGTTGTCGTTGTCGTTGTTTTTGATGTTATTGAACGATGGCTGACGTTTCGGCGACTTCGCCTTCTTCAGAGCCGTGATGTTACGTGCGAGACTGGTCCACGTATCAACTATTTATGCCGAGGTTTATAGAAAATGGGTCTTTCGAGTTATTATGAAATCCACAATATTGCACTAAAGTCAGATATAAGAGAACTACAAAAAGGATGAGACACCGACAACTATAGTGCTGGTAGGATTTTAGGAAAGTCGGTGTACCAACCATCGCAACTGAGGAAAGGTCATCACTCGGCTGTGCGGTCAGGCCGATGCACACACACTTGATCCGACGCTGGTGCACTTATCCGTTCGTATACAAGCAAATTCATATACACACACGCATAAATGTATAAAGGGAGGATAGCACAGTGGTAGTGTTGCCAGTCATCACCACCACGGTGGTGGTTGTATCCCGCTGCGGTTTCACCAAGCCTCTCATCCTTTCGAGGTCGGGAAATTCGTATCGAACTTGTCCGGAAAAACCTCTTTCTTCAATCCAATTGCATAACATGGTACCCATTGCATCACTGAAGCCATTGCTTCTTTCTTATCTTAACCAGTTTTCTGTCTAGGGTGCCGTCGGCAACCATCCGTCAACCGGAATGACCTTAGGGTCACAAATCGGCATTAATCTCAGTTAATCTGAGGTTTTAGTCGAAATCACAATGTCCATATCCCATTTACTGCCTATTACTTTTTGACGGCAGGTTATGACATCTGTCTCTGCAAAGGATAACCGGAGGTTCAAATCTAGCTTGAGTCCGGATTTTGCAGATATCTCAGTGTCATATTGGTTATATTTCATACCATACCCTGTCGTGGGGAGAACTAATAGGAAATAAATAAAAAGTAAATATTGATTACTTAGTTAAACAATTAGTGCACAAATGTCTCACTCAAACAGGGCCCATTACTTTTTCTATTCATTAGGCTGTCAAGAAACTGTAGCCAA